CTTTGAAACTAAACGTAAACTTTCCGCCCTTATAGAAGCCCTACAATTGACACACATTTGTCGCATACAGACAATCAGTACGAGATATAAGTCATAAGATATAAGAGGTTTAAGCATACATTCGCTTGCATTGAGTTCAATGTCATTGCCATCACATCTGCACAACTCATTGGCATTCAATCACTATTTAGACACCAAATAGTCATTCAATCAATTGCGAGCATATGATGGCAATCAAACACAAGTCCACTGACATTGAGCTCAACTCACGAGTAAATGATAGATAAAAAAAAGCAAAAATGTGTTCATCGAGCAAATGGTGAATACCTCGTCGGGACAGATGATAATCTTGAAGTTTAAGAGATCGCCGTCTGGATCGGGAACCATAACACAGTTCTTAGGGAGTGTCAGCTCATTGATGTCTGAAATGGAGGCAGAGGCTCATGAGTGAGTGAAGTGGTGGTCAAGCTTAGGACCAATTGGTGATACCTTTGGTGATGCGGATCTGTGCGGCGGTATTGCGACCCCTTTGGGAGGACTGATTGTTTTGAGCGGACGACTGGTTTTGTTGGGATTTCAGTGAAAATAATTTAATCATTGCTTCAGATGTACGGATCGATCACTGGATGAACGAGTAATCTGTTTGCGATCGCTATGCAAGCGATGGTTATATCCAATCAATCACTTCTTAGACCTGAAGCCAAGCGCCACTCAAACGACGGCTAAATTGAGACCAAATTGGCGTCAATTGAATGGATTTAATAACGGATTAAATGCTGAATGTATTCAATGTTAACAACAATACAGTAATGAAGTGACAAAAGCAGTGAACGGATTAACGCATTACACAAATCTCTATACAGACTATACGACTGCCATTGCACTCAACACTCAGTTCACGTCTCATTCAATATGCCTTTCATTGTGTTATAAGGGGTTGGGTTTGACTCCAGAAATGATTACGTTATTTGCTTTCAATTGATTTAAAGGTTTGCCAATCAATAGGCAATTACAGCTGTTATTGGAAACGAGCGAAAAGTTTGCAATACGCGATTAAAACTCATTGAAAACTAAACTCAATTCAAATGTTTGGACAAATGATTGCATTTCCATAAAATGCATGAGTTTTACAATCAAATATATTTGAATTAATCATAAAAATCTAAAATCTTTGAAACAATTTATTTCTTACGAAGACTTATTCAACAGATGTCACAACAAATGTCTTGAATAAGTAGTTCACATAAGACATGCAACTGAATGGGAAGTGAAGCCAAGGAAATGTATAACAATTACATAACATTACATCGCGGGTCGCGAAATACAAATTTACGGACACGTGATATGTGAGCGCATATTACGAGTGATATTGTCTGGCATTTAAATCACGAGTTTTTATTGGTTTTGGACTTTTGGTTGTTTTGCCGACAATTAGTGATAAGAAATGCTGAGATTGTATGCAATCAGTGGTGACTGAGAAGTGATTCACACATCGCTTCATATGCTGTCCGACACTCGCAGTCATATCGACTCGCATTCAGTCCATTCAACAGCCAATGCATTCAATGCAAGCATTTCTGTGGCAATGATTTAAATCACAAAAACTTTTCGTTTATTTATTTTTTTATGAATTTATTTAGTTTTTAAACAATTTTTAGTTTTATTTTTATCGCTTAACACTTGGATTACAATTGGATTTAAATGTGAGATAATTTGGCGAAAGCCCTGAGAGTCACAACAGGAGACGATTGGTGTCCACACAAGAAGACAATGGCTTTGAATTCAGAGATCATTCGCTACGAAGAAGTGAACGAACGGTCGGGCGATGAGTTGGACCACAACTGGAGACAATCGCCGCCACAGACGGCCCACGACTGGGAGGCCTATAAGATGGCCAATGTGTTCGATGACGGCACGCAGACCTACTTCTGGTGCGACCCCTTCCTCCAAGTTTGCTATCACTTGTCCACTGAGTGCTAATGTGTCGATCCCTTCAGGAGAGCCCATACCCTGACGGTCCTCTTTCTGATGACCTGTGCGCTCATATATGTGGCTATATTTGAGCCCATCTCTGATGACACCAATTATAACATTAAGAGGTATTGCAGTGATAGTGGAGTTGATGTGAAATGTGATGCTTATGTGATGTCTTCCTCAGAGGTATCATCGCCTGCGCCCTTACCTTCATTCTGGTGGGCGTAACACAAATACCCGACGGCCCCTTCCGGCGCCCCCACCCAGGTTTGCCTCCCTTTCCCATTCATGAACTGCACTTTCTTCCTAACCTTAAGCTCTAACTGTTTGTTCAAACTCTTGGTATTGTCTTTGATTTCACGCAACCATTCAAACGAATAGTATTTGAAATTGAAATAAACTTATCGTAAGATCTGATGTTTATTCAAACCATTCGACGCTTATCTCTGTCCTAATTATGTGTTCACATCTCTGCACTCATTATGTCATCAAATCATCTCAATAACCATCCATTGCTTTACAGCCCTCTGGAGATTCGTGTTCAGCGTTTCGGTTGTCTATGAATTGGCGCTTATTTTCATATTATTTCAGGTATTTTCACATTTCATTTATTCATATATCACCAAAACTTTTAAAAATATCATTACAGACACCAAACGACGCGCGAAAGTTCTTAAAACATATCGACCCTAATCTAGGAAAGCCTTTAGAGGAGAGGGATTACGGCGGCAATTGTAAACTCTATGATCCCGACGCCAGTGATCCCTTCCATAATATTTGGGTAGATTATATTGGTTTATATTTAGTGTCAATTGTTTAATAATGGGCTGTATTTTATCGTAGGATAAGTTTGATGTGTTTATTCCCTCCCACTTCTTCGGCTGGTGGCTAAAGGTATGTCTCAGATATGCATTATATGAACCGTTATTATCGGTATATCATAGAATTGATTTGATTATACAGACCATCATAATCAGGGACTGGTGGTTGTGTACAGTTAATAGTGTGATGTTTGAACTGTTGGAATACACATTAGAGCACCAGTTGCCCAACTTTTCCGAGTGCTGGTGGGATCACGTGAGTGATTGTCCCCTTAATTGCTAATCCGGTCACTAATTCCGTACTTTCTATTGATTTAATAAAAAGTGGATTTTAGACGCTTTGTTGTGCAATGGATTAGGAATCTACTGCGGAATGAAGACATTGACATATCTCTCAATGAAACCCTACAATTGGCGGGGACTGTGGGACATTCCGACCTACCGGGGTAAACTCAAACGCATTGTCGCTCAGTTCGGACCTCACGGTTGGATTCAATTCGATTGGAGGCCCACTTCCAGTCTTGATCGATGGATATCTGTACTCTTGATTGCATTTGTTGTCAGTATTTCAACGGAAGTCTAATGAATTGAATTATAAAATAAATATTTCTGTTTCTAAACTCCAGACTTTGGTCGCAGAATTAAATACATTTTACCTGAAGTTTGTGTTATGGTTGGAACCGCCACACTATCTCAATATGGTTCGACTCGTTTTGTTGCTATTTGTGGGCGCCGTCTGTTTAAGAGAAACCTTCCAATACCTGGACGACCCGTAAGACTAAACTGAAACCCGCAATAAGTTTATTAACATTTCATTCATTGAATTCTTATTGAAGTGATACCAAAAAATTTGGTCGTCAGTCGTGGGTTATCTTAACGATAGTGACCACAGAGTTCTTAATAATCGCTAAATTCGATTGGAATACCATCACAAAGCCGGTGCCCAGACATATGATCTGGTTTTGGGTCGGAGGGGCTGTCCTGTTGCTCGTGTGGACCATTTGGAACTTCTTCCTTCGACGGGTCACTAAAATATTGTACAAAAACACCGATTCAGACGAATTGGCTAAAAGTGGAAATAATGGCAAAAGTGTTGCCAAACCAGAGGTGACTATAAAGCAATCTCTCGGGCAGTCGAACGGATCCATCGGGTCTACGATCGGTGCAAAACATAATAAAACTAGTAATCAATTAAATAGTAAAAAGAAGAAATAGTTTTTCTAAAAATCTATTTTTCTAGAAATTAATTCTAATTTAACACTCAAAACCTTTTGATATTTGAATTTTTAAGGCAATAATTGTTATAAATATACATATTCTTGACAATTGAGTCCACATTTTCCAGTATTACTGAAATTCAGCGCTCAATAAATGTTCACTTTATTCAATTTTATCACTCATTTGTTTTATTCATCCAATCATTTGGTGCCAACTCTTTCAATACAAACTTATCGGAAGTAGTTTTATGAATAAATATTGAGTCCTTTTGAACGGCTATTCAATAATGAATAAAATGCATTGAAATCTGTTTTAAGAAGTCTTTATTCGGAAAAAATGAAAAATTCTTAATTCAATACATAGTTTTGGAAATTAATAATAATAACTGATTTCACGCCACGAGTGCCGATGCGGTGGACGACTCGTAGCGCCAATTGGGGGCCAAAACTCGTTTGGTTTTGTAATAACGGGCCAATCGGTGGATACGGCTCTCCACTAAAATCAATCGGAACTTCGAGTCCTTGTCTTTGCGGTTGCGCTCCAGATGTTTACGAATGGCGACCGCCTTCTTGATCAAGTGATACAAGTCTTCGGGCAGTTGTGGCGCCAGACCCTTCTTCTTGAGGATCCGCAGAATCTTATTGCCGGTCACCCATCGGACCTGAGCCACGCCGTGCCAGTCCCTCAACATCACACCGATCTGTGATGGAGTCATACCCTTCTTCGCCAGCTTACAGATCTGGTCCACGACGTCATCGGTGGTCAACTTCAGCCACTATTAGTGCAAAACACAGCCATAATTAGAGACACGTCTTAGACATGTGTTGTGGTGTGGATGTACTCACTGTAGGCACAGTTCGTCGGTATGGAAGTGCTGATTGGGAAATACCCTTTCTGTTGGACACAAACAATGCATTCAATTAATTCATTCAATAATTATCGCAAATCAATGAACACATGAAGACATCAAAACTGATGGTCGCCTCAAATGCGGTGAATAGTGTTGAGTGACGTCACGCGTGCTCTCTATGCAGGCATTGCAGGCATTGTGTGCCACATGTCTCGCAACTCAACCGCTATTTACACGCATTTTAGCGACAATTTGGTCGAAATACTAATTATTTTCGACAAACATTTGGTTAATAAGTAAAACTAAATAAAATTAAATGAAAACAAATGACAATAAACGGGAAAAAGTGGTCAAAAAAGTTGGACAGACCCGGGAGCGTGCATACGACCCATTTTGGACAGTGAGTGAGAGACTGTGTGTTTGGGGGACAGGCCTACAGATGGCACCACTCGGCACACACACAGCCCTTCACTTCTCACTCCAGTTTACAGTTAGACATGAAATATACGGATAGAAAACATTTCAAGTTTCCAATCGATCCCTTACTCCAGTTTTATAGTGAAGTATATTATAGTAGTGTTGTATTCATTCAAATGCTCATCAATTCATTTGTTTTAATTTCAAAGTAAGTTATTATTTTTGGTCAAATGTTATGCTATTCATTGGAAACTATAAATTCTCTGTCAATTTATATATCTATCTCTTAAGTTTTGTGCTTGTTCATAGACTTGTCAGGATAATTTTATTTTAATATTTCTCTAAATGACATGGTTAATAATTTTTATTTTTAAATAAAAAATTTCTTTATTAGTCAAGTGTTTATAATAAAAGGAATTGTGCATGGTAGCATGTAGAATGTAGTTACAGTGTAACACATTGTTGAGTAATAATTATATTGTCAATGTTAATGAGAATTAAATTTTTCCAAGCTGTTATACAGAAAATAATTTATAGTTTTATTAATATTTTTATTAATAGTTTCATAATTTATTTTATAACAATTTCATATTTACCTGTAATATAAATATAATCGTGTGAAAGAATTTATAAATACCTGCATTTTAATTATTTAAAACAATAAAATTTATCGTTTTTATTATTTATTGAAATTTAAATGTGTTAAATTAAATTCGAAAAATGTGTAATAGATTATGACAAGTTAAAAGGTTTGCCTATTTTATAAAATGCATTTGTGAGCAAAACTCTTTATAAATTGAAAGTTAGAGTATGATATGAATTGATAAAATTCGCTATGCTTTAATTTACATACAAGTTTTGACATTTATAACATAGTTTGTAATGCTCACTATTAAAGGTAATGTAGTATTAGAAAAGTGTTCAAATTGAATATTAGCAGTGAAATGAAAATAGTAGATAAATATACAGGAAATCTAAATGATTGTGAATGTGATTGAATGCAAAATAAGGCAAACGCTGGGAATGACTAATGTTTTGACAAGTTTGCAGGTATTGTGTGTGTGAAGTGTGTGTCACATGAATGGGTGATTGGTGTCAATGCAACACTAGTGTGCCATATATGCCAGTCTTAGTGATAATCTAATCCCAGTCTCACATGTGAATCATTGATCGCTATAATCATTAAACTCTCCATTATTTTCATGTTTAGTTTAATTCACATCTAATTTATTTGATATTTATTTATATTTATTATACATTTATAACCATATATTGTATTATATATTGAGTCATATGTATTGATCTCACTATTAGTCAAGTATTAGTCAATTGAATGAAACAGTGATTCAAACAAATCATAACAATAACAGTGAGAGTGAGTGAAGCGGTCATCAAAACATCAAATCAAAGGTTTGTTCAAAATTCACACCATTAGACCATTCAGTGAATTGCAATCATGTCATCAATGCTATCATTATAACCATATTTGTCGCAAATATTATACTAATAATGCCAATGATTGCAGTCATTGTCGCTAATACTGTCCACATTTGCCTCAATTCATGTCCAAATGTTTGCATTCATTTGATTGACTCACGACTGATCCGATCATTTGATGCAAAATATGGTCCAATAATTGAGTTCTTGAAGTCTTGACTGCTTTTTGAAGTTTGAAATTAAGTCTTATTAAGTCTTCCGGTTTAGAGGGAGAGAGAGGGAGAGAGAGAGAGAGAGAGAGAGAGAGAGAGAACTGGAGGGGAGAGGAGTGTATGTGTTGTGCGAAAGTCCTGCAAGTCTTCCGTATTTCATCGGACCTGAGCCACGCCGTGCCAGTCCCTCAACATCACACCGATCTGTGATGGAGTCATACCCTTCTTCGCCAGCTTACAGATCTGGTCCACGACGTCATCGGTGGTCAACTTCAGCCACTATTCAAAGTGCAAAACACAGCCATAGTTAGAGACACGTCTTAGACATGTATGGTGTGGATGTACTCACTGTAGGAACAGTTCGTCGGTACGGAAGTGCTGATTGGGAAATACCCTTTCTGTTGGACACAAACAATGCATTCAATTAATTTATTCAATAATTATCGCAAATCAATGAAGACATGAAGACATCAAAACTGATGGTCGCGTCAAATGCGGTGAATAGTGTTGAGTGACGTCACGCGTGCTCTCTATGCAGGCATTGCAGGCATTGTGTGCCACATGTCTCGCAACTCAACCGCTATTTACACGCATTTTAGCGACAATTTCGTCGAAATACTAATTATTTTCGACAAACATTTGGTTAATAAGTAAAACTAAATTAAATTAAATGAAAACAAATGACAATAAACGGGAAAAAGTGGTCAAAAAAGTTGGACAGACCCGGGAGCGTGCATACGACCCATTTTGGACAGTGAGTGAGAGAGTGTGTGTTTGCGGGACAGGCCTACAGATGGCACCACTCGTCGCACACACAGCCCTTCACTTCTCACTCCAGTTTACAGTTAGACATGAAATATACGGATAGAAAACATTTCAAGTTTCCAATCGATCCCTTACTCCAGTTTTATAGTGAAGTATATTATAGTAGTGTTGTATTCATTCAAATGCTCATCAATTCGTTGATTTTGTGCTTTTATTTGTTTTAATTTCAAAGTAAGTTATTATTTTTGGTCAAATGTTATGCTATTCATTGGAAACTAGAAATTCTCTGTCAATTTATATATATATCTCTGAAGTTTTGTGCTTGTTCATAGACTTGTCAAGAGAATTTTATTTTAATATTTCTGTAAATGACATGGTTAATAATTTTTATTTTTAAATAAAGAATTTCTTTATTAGTCAAGTGTTTATAATAAAAGGAATTGTGCATGGTAGCATGTAGAATGTAGTTACAGTGTAACACATTGTTGAGTAGTAATTATATTGTCAATGTTAATGAGAATTAAATTTTTCCAAGCTCTTATACAGAAAATAATTTATAGTTTTATTAATATTTTTATTAATAGCTTCATAATTTATTTTATAACAATTTCATATTTACCTGTAATATAAATATAATCGTGTGAAAGAATTTATAAATATCTGCATTTATTAGCATTGAATAAACATTGAATGGAGTTATAGTTAAGTTCTAATTTTGTAATAATAAAACTACAATTATAAAATATTCAATAAGTGTGCTTATATGTTAGTGCTAGTCTAAAATAATTTTAATTATTTAAAACAATAAAATTTTATGATTTTTATTATTTATTGAAATTTAAATGTGTTAATTCTAAAAATGTGTAATAGATTATGACAAGTTAAAAGGTATGCCTATTTTATAAAATGCATTTGTGAGCAAAACTCTTTATAAATTGAAAGTTAGAGTATGATACGAATTGATAAAATTTGCTATGCTTTAATTTACATACAAGTTTAGACATTTATAACATAGTTTGTAATGCTCACTATTAAAGGTAATGTAGTTTTAGAAAAATGTTCAAATTGAATATTAGCAGTGAAATGAAAATAGTAGATAAATATACAGGAAATCTAAATGATTGTGAATGTGATTGAATGCAAAATAAGGCAAACGCTGGGAATGACTAATGTTTTGACAAGTTTGCAGGTATTGTGTGTGTGTTCGTGGAGTGTATGTCACATGAATGGGTGATTGGTGTCAATGCAACACTAGTGTGCCATATATGCCAGTCTTAGTGATAATCTAATCCCAGTCTCACATGTGAATCATTGATCGCTATAATCATTAAACTCTCCATTATTTTCATGTTTAGTTTAATTCACATCTAATTTATTAGCTATTTATTTTTATTTATTATACATTTATTACCATATATTGTATTATATAGTCATATGTATTGATCTCACTATTAGTCAAGTATTAGTCAATTGAATGAAACCGTGATTCAAACAAATCATAACAATAACAGTGAGAGTGAGTGAAGCGGTCATCAAATCAAAGGTTTGTTCAAAATTCACACCATTAGACCATTCAGTGAATTGCAATCATGTCATCAATGCTATCATTATAACCTTATTTGTCTTCATGTTATACTAATAATGCCAATGATTGCAGTGATTGTCGCTAATACTGTCCACATTTGCCTCAATTCATGTCCAAATGTTTGCATTCATTTGATTGACTCACCACTGATCCGATCATTTGATGCAAAATATGGTCCAATAATTGAGTTCTTGAAGTCTTGACTGCTTTTTGAAGTTTGAAATTAAGTCTTATTAAGTCTTCCGGTTTAGAGGGAGAGAGAGAGAGAGAACTGGAGGGGAGAGGAGTGTATGTGTTGTGCGAAAGTCCTGCAAGTCTTCCGTATTTTGAGTGAATTTTTAATTTGTTTTATCAGAGAATGAGAGGCAGGAGAGAGAGAGAGAGAGAGAGACGTGTGATGTGCAGTGAAAGTAGGAATGGTATGAAATGGTGTGATGTCGTGCCCACAAGGGATGCATAAAATGCAATCTTAACCTCAAAAGAAAACAACAAAATGTTTATAATTCCTGTTATTCGTCGTGAGCTCCAAGTGCTCAGTAGTCGACCCACTCTTACTTTCGACCAAACGCTGCAAAACTTAATTTCACTCAATAATAGTGTATAGAAATGTGTTACACTTTTTAGTCTAGTTTCAGATAGTGGTCCGTCCGGTGCTCTGCTCTCTCGTGCTCTCCATCACTCTATCTCTCCCATACTCTCCTCTTTCTCTCTCAGCTCTCTCTCTCTCTCCCCTCCTATTCTCTACCTCTGAAAGTATCGCAGGTTTTCAGTCAATTAAGTACTAAAAAGAAGAAAATAATGTTTCAATTATTAAAGATTTGGATTTGAGCTCAACTCTGAACCTAACCTCAAATTTTTCTTTTCACTGTTCATTCAGTTTTGTGTGTCTTTTGTTGTATCACTCGTTTTCTCCTCATTTCAATAATCAGTTTTCACTGCTTTTGTGAACTCAGACGTGAATTCTATGCAAATGTTTTGCTTCATATAAGTTATGGTCAAATGTTGGCTTATTTTTGTCAAATTAATTTACACCTAAAATCAACTTATGATTACATCAAACGAATCGATGAATTCATTCAAATGTGTCTTTAAAGGAGATTCTTGGAGCCCATCGTTCAGTACAAAGGCATCTAATCTGCAAACTCTGAGCAGCTCTTCAGCGATGGACACCATGTATAGAAATGTGTTACACTTTTTAGTCTAGTTTCAGATAGTGGTCCGTCCGGTGCTCTGCTCTCTCGTGCTCTCCATCACTCTATCTCTCCCATACTCTCCTCTTTCTCTCTCAGCTCTCTCTCTCCCCTCCTATTCTCTACCTCTGAAAGTATCGCAGGTTTTGAGTCAATTAAGTACTAAAAAGAAGAAAATAATGTTTCAATTATTAAAGATTTCGATTTGAGCTCAACTCTGAACCTAACCTCAAATTTTTCTTTTCACTGTTCATTCAGTTTTGTGTGTCTTTTGTTGTATCACTCGTTTTCTCCTCATTTCAATAATCAGTTTTCAGCGATTTTGTCAACTCAGACGTCAATTCTATGCAAATGTTTTGCTTCATATAAGTTATGGTCAAATGTTGGCTTATTTTTGTCAAATTAATTCACATCTAAAATCAACTCATGATTACATCAAACGAATCGATGAATTCATTCAAATGTGTCTTTAAAGGAGATTCTTGGAGCCCATCGTTCAGTACAAAGGCATCTAATCTGCAAACTCTGAGCAGCTCTTCAGCGATGGACACCAATGAGAATGAGTCGCAAATCGCAAGCTTTTATAAAGACCGAAGCGTTTTCATTACAGGCGCCACAGGTTTTATGGGAAAAGTATGTCCAATATTACTATGATTTGCATTTTGTATGTCATATTTATATCAATTATTGTTTTTGGTCCCAATCTTAAGGTATTAGTTGAGAAACTGTTGCGTTCGTGCAGTGATGTCAAGAATATCTATGTCTTACTCCGGACTAAAAAAGGTCTGAACGCCCGCTCCCGTCTCGACGAACTGCTTAACACTAAAGTATATTATTATTACATATGATATCATAAATGCATTACAAGTTTTTAACTTAAACTCGTTTTTGTTAACATTTACTTTGACTCGATTTGTTTTATTTGTTTTATTTGTTTTCTCTGTTCTCCTGTTTTTCACTCTTCCTTAACATTTGTTTTGTTTGAAACGAAAGATTTTTGAGAAGATTCGCGATGAGAACCCGAAAGCATTGAACAAAATAGTGGCCATTCAGGGGGACATCACTCTCAACAGTTTGGGAATATCCGAGAGTGACTTGAATTTGCTTTCAAGCGATGTCTCCATTGTATTTCATTCAGCGGCGACCGTCAAGTTTGACGAACCCTTGAAGTGAGTCCTATACATGAGTGCCTGACATTCAAAATGCTTTATATAACATTGATTTGTTTGATTCATTGATCAGGACTTCAGTGGAGTTCAACGTAATCGGAACCCGAAGATTAGTCGAAATATGCCATAAAATGCCAAAATTAGTGGTAATATAAATTTTTATTAATTATTTACTTATAACAATAAGACATTTATTTATTTATATACAAATAAAATATTTGTTTAAACAATAGTTGGTTACAGAGAATTTTAATACCTCTAGTAATAAAAGTTATTGAAAGCATTTACAGGAAATAATAAAATCTCAATTCTCTAAAGTACTGTATATTTACGGTAATTGCTTTAAAATGCGATAAGATATTGAAATGCATAGACTTTTTTGGTTTAATAGAAACACTAATCTTTGAATTGACATAAAGTATAGAGATTATACTGTAATAGAGGCTATTCTTTGGAATTTCAGATGACATATAATGATAAATAATTTTAAAAATAATTTTATCAATAGTCTTAACGTGAAGTAACTAATAGAAAGCTAATGTAGACTTGAATTGATATGAACTCTGTTAGGCTTTAATCCACGTGTCGACCGCATACGCCAACTGCAACCGATCGGAAATCGATGAACTGCTATACTCTCCGCCCGTTTCGCCCCAAAAAATCGTGGACGCAGTTGAATGGATGGACGACGAGGTCATCAACTCATTGACGCCTAAACTGCTGGGCGATCGGCCCAACACTTACACGTATACGAAAGCATTGGCCGAATCGCTTTTGGTGGACGAGTGCGGGAGCCTACCGGTAGCTATAGTGAGGCCATCCATAGTGACCGCCTCCTGGAAGGAGCCGTTGCCGGGTTGGGTCGACAACATTAACGGCCCGACGGGTCTGATCCTTGCGAGTGGTAAAGGAATTCTGCGCACAATGCTCTTCAACTCGAAGGCCGGCGCTGACCTGATCCCAGTGGACACTGTCATTAATCTGATGATATCTGTGGCCTGGTATACGGCTACACAACAGCCCAACAGCATAATGGTCTACAACTGCACGTCAGGTCAGCACAATCGGATCACTTGGGGTGACATCGAGAGGATTGCCTTCCCTTTACTGCTTCATTACCCGAGCGCTGAGATATTCCGATATCCGGGCGGAAACTTCAAAGAGAACCGTCTGTTTAACGACATTTGCNAGTGGCCTGGTATACGGCCACACAACAGCCCAACAGCATAATGGTCTACAACTGCACGTCAGGTCAGCACAATCGGATCACTTGGGGTGACATCGAGAGGATTGCCTTCCCTTTACTGCTTCATTACCCGAGCGCTGAGATATTCCGATATCCGGGCGGAAACTTCAAAGAGAACCGTCTGTTTAACGACATTTGCTCCTTCTTTGACCACATAATTCCCGCCTATTTTTTTGACGCTTTGATGGCACTGACGGGTCGCAAGAGAATGTAAGCCACCACTCATTGCTTTGCAATCCATTCATTTGCTAACTGTTTCTATTGTTTACCCAAAGTATGGTCAGAATCTACGAGAAGTTGCATCGGGCGACCGGTGCCCTCGAATGGTTCACCACAAGAGAGTGGAAGTTCAGTGCGAATAATGTACTGATGCTTATCGATCAACTCAAGGGAGTGGATAAAGAGGTAGTGCTCTCAATAAATGATTACCATTCATACAGAATGCTAACAGAATATTCTGTGATATAGACATTCCATTTTGATATCCGTGACCTCCATTGGCCCACATATTGGGAGGACTATGTGTTGGGTTCGCGGAAATACATACTAAAAGAAGACAACTCCTCTCTAC